GGATGGTGAGAGCGCTGTGATGGGAATGTGAAGGATATCAGTAAATGATGATTATAAAGACAAACAGCATTATGATTACTAACCTTGATGATAACTGGTGCGAATGCTTTCAGTACTTTCTTCGGCATCGTCTGAGCATTATGCTTTTTGAAGACTCGATAAAGGAAGAGATTCGTCTGAATTTTGATGTTTGGATTTGGCTTCTCGAGCGCTTTCTCAATGTCCTCCATCATTGCTTCAAGAGTCGTCTGCAAGAATGCGTTATTACCAATGATAGGCCGCGAATGCAATTACAGAAAAGTGAATCATTTTGGAATATCAAATCATGCCGCTAGATAATACACCCATCCTACAATCAGATAAGGTTTTTGAATTACTGTCGAGCAATAATCTGAAGGCAATGTTCATTCTATTAATATTTATGGTTTCTTTTGCAATTCGTTTAGCAAAAATAAAAATTGCCGTTTCGGTTTCAGTGCAATAAGTTGCAATTTTTTGCGTTTTCTAAATAAGAGAGACAAACCGAAGCTGCGACAGCATCAATGCAGTCGATGAGCGGATCTCGAAGCACGGGCTTCTTCTCTTTGAACTTCTCGAATATTACTGGTGTTACGACTGCCGTATAATTGCCGAATTTCTTGCGCAAACCATTTGCGAACGCCGTCAAACACCGCGCAGCGACCGCACAAACATTGATATTTGGATCTTTTTCCAGTATCTAACATTTGCGATTAGTTAAAAAACAATTCAATCAATAGATATTCATCAATTTCCAGTATTTATGTTGCAATCAGATCGTTGGAGAACAATTCACGAAGATGCAACGAAATATTTTGGGATGAATCCTGTGATGATATTCATGGAAAAGAACGTACCTTTTTAAGGATGGCCACATGTTCACCGTAATTCGCTTTCGGATCTAATTTTGGATTCTCAGTGCAAAGTGTGAGTAACGTTTGCAGAGCATCCCGACGTTCGGTCCACTTCTTTGACTCAATGCCTTCGTTGAAATTGTCCGGTAATTTGGCGAGTACATCCACCGGGTCAAGCATGTCCCATGGATCGATCTCAGGTTCATTGGCAGAAGCAGCTGAAGTATGAAAAGACTGAATCAAAACACACTGAATGTTATAAAACGATGGATTCTTTCGAAGGCCCGCCAGATATGTATGTATCTGTGGAAGGGTTCATGAACTTGTGACATTCAGTCGAGCGGTCGATCATCGTGAATCTAACGTGATGACTGCTGAATCGACGAAATGTAAGTGAACAACAACAAAGCATTGACTGGCGAATGGATGTGTCCAGAAAGGAGCAAATGAACAGAAATGCGTTGATTGAGTCAGTACGTGCATGCAACTGGTGGATGGATGCCACAACATATGACGAATTGTGCGCCTTTTTCGGACACAAAAATCAATAGAAGAAAAAAACCTATGAGCATGGAAATACGATTTTGTTCCAATAAAGATGTATCCGAATGAAAAAAGGAATTTATTGGCTCGGAAAAGTGATCGCCTTGTGGCCAAATTAGATTGTTTCTGAATCGATTTCCAAAAACACTGATTAAAATGATTGATCGATATGGGTTCTTCGATAGAAAAATTGGAAGTATCGTTGAAGTGATTGAAACTGTTCTGACCAGCAGCGGATACTTGAGGCGACGATGCTGGATTTCCGGCAGCTTCATTCGTTCGAGCAGAATCGCAATTCGTCAGTTCTGAATCCTGCGCACGTTTCGCTTCTTCTTCAGAAACCTCTGCTGCAGCTCTATCGCGAGCTTCTGTGATCTAAAAATGAATTGGAATATGATGTGATGATATCCGTTCACAATCAATGTCCATAATAAATCAAGGTTTTTGTCCAAAACGCAATTTGATCTCATCGGATATCAGAATCATCATCGATATTGAACCTTTTGCATTTTTATCTTGTCATCCTGAATGCTGCCAATGAAAGTGTTCAAAACTTTATCACCAGTGAGCCGCATCATCGAACCGAGAGCACCACACGCTGCTTCACGTACTTCTTTGTCGGGATCAGATGCAAACTGAAATACGACCGAGAACGATATAAAACAGTGAAACTATCTATTGAGAACATAAATCAGCTGCTACTGTTTCTGTCTCATAAAACAGAAACTCAACGATCACCTTAACAAGGATAGGTGCAACCGCTTTGATGAATTTTTTAGGTGCCGAATTTGTCGCGTATTTTTTCATCACACGATACATGAAATTGCATGCTTGTAGTTTGATATTCGGATTCGGTTTTTCGATTGATGCTGAAATGTCCTCTACTAACGTGTCCAAATTTATCTAAAAATAAAATAAATCGTTAGTGATAGCATAACCCAACAATACCTGTCAACATCTAACATTTCTATGAGAGAAAAATGTCGACGGTGAATCATTATGGTTTCTATTTCAAGATACATAACACGACGTCACACGCCTTTTTCGCATTCTCGAAACTGCGACATCTTGTGAAAGCAGCGACAAGGCAGATGTGAAATGACTGAAAAAAGAAGGTGAGTAAATAAATGTTGTTTGAATACCGTGGTCGCTACAGCATCGATACATTCGATCAGTGGATCTCTCAGCGTTGGCTTCTTCTCTTTGAACCGTTCGAATATAACAGGAATGTACTAAAATGCAACGTATCTTTCACATCTCATGAAATGAACAAATAATCACTGCAACATTACATAAATCAACCTCAGCGAATAAACAAGGCATCGTTAAGGAGAAATACTTAATTGTGTAGTATAATTACAGTAAACAAACGCTTACTGACTCTGCTGAAATGTACTTTGATGCCAAATCACTTGACCTGCTTACGGAATTTTTAAAAACCTCAGAAAATCTCAACATGAGTCTCAAAAATAATATAATATAACGAAAATGGAATAAGTGAATCAATGTAAATAAATTGACGAATATTCAATAATGGAGTTCAACTTAAAAGTATACCATTGATGCGAATGGGGCGAATTTTGTGCGAAGGCCATTTGCAATTCCACCGATAGATTTAGCACATAAAGCACACACGTTGATATTTGCATCCTTTGCTAACACCTTCAAAACGGAAACAAATTCAATCATATTTCAAATCTTACAGACGATCAAAAACTGAGTAACAAACAGTGTACCTCATCGAGAAACTCTTTGCTCAATAGGGAAAACGTTCTGAATAATTAACCGCCCGATGCGTCAATACTCGGATACAGCGTTGGATTAACTCGTTCCCAAACTGATAATAAGCAAAGTGTCGCTATTCTCACTGAGCGAAGCTGGGCTGAATCACAACTCTCACTGGGTAAATATAAACCGCCTCATGCTGACAATATTAACAATTCATTAATTTTCTAAAACCTTCATAGCCGATTCACACATCTGTCACATACCTAAGACGTAATAAATTCCCATGAAAATCACAACGAAAAACCTCACATTTTTAAGCGCATTCGTTAGTTCACCGTAATTCGCTTTTGGATCTAGTCGTGGTGATTTGGTAAGTTCATCAACAAGCGCCTGAAGTGCATCTCTCCTTTCTGTCCACTTTTTTGATTCCAACCATTCGTTGAATTGAGCAGGAAGCTTTGGCAATATATCAACCTGCAGTTCACGATTCAAACTCAAAAATAAAACACTGCCTTAATGTGCTTCAAATACTCGCTATTCAACTCCACTGGGGTAAACAGAAACAATATTCTCTTATTAATATAATAAATTGAAGCGACCTCAAATACATCATGCAAGACAAGCCGATCGTAGTAAAGGAGTGGATCAATAAAACAGTTTTATAAATCAACATTCCTCACAGAAATATTTTTTGAAATGTGACGGAAACACTGATGATTAACGTCATATTACAATGATATCAAAGCAAAATTCATTAAAGTGCCATACCTCATTCATAAGCGACCACTCGTCCATTATGCAAAACCCTGAAAATGATTCTAAAAATCATAAGCATTCCACAGAAGTAGATCATAAATTACGAAGCAATTCTAACAAATCTAAGACAAGCAAAGTGCCCTTTCACAATATTCCAACGCTGAGTGAAGGCAAGAAACGATCATGTCCGTTGAATATAACCACAACGAACTTATTATCTCGTTTACGTAAGCAAACAAAGCGTACTTCACGAACGCTTATCAAAGAAAGCATCTTTTATACAACAAAAATAAACGAATCTTACTCATCATCATGCAACACTTCAAATGGGGTTGGTAACAGAGGTGTGGGTAGAAGAAGCCAAATTGCACTTTCGTACGCGCGCGG